CTCTCGGGGGGGGGGTCTTTCCAAGCACCCCCACCAACTGTACCAGATCTTCTAAATTATCTTATATGACATGGTGAGCAGGGCTTTTCTTTCTGGGAGAATACGCTGGAATGGAGTTCCAGAATATCTTTGACAAAATTCTTTTTAAAACGTTTAAAAGTTCATGAGTTTTCAGTATACAGATTGAAAACTTCATTTCCCTCTTGAGAGTTCTGGCACCTCTCTCCCCCCCCCCCCCCCAAAAAAGCCCTGATGGTGAGTAATAATAATATCAAACACTGCTGAGAGGTCCTAATCAGCCCATAGAATTAGATTGTTCTTCAGGGCTAGTAAAACTGTTTGACATCTGTAAAGTGAACTGCCGTCCAGCTCAGTGGGGCCAACAGTTATTACAGCCTAAGAGTATGGACACGTGTTGCAAAGGTTCGTTTGAGTAACATCCAATTTCTGCCCAAGCTGGTCCTATAGGCAAATAAGGCTGGAGAGAATTATCTACCTGTTTCTTTCCTTGCCTTCTTAGGAAAAGGATGACTCAACATATCAAACTCATAGCTGTATCCCTTTGGCCAGAAAGGCAGGACCCAGTCTTTGGAACTTTCATTTCCCCAGAAGGGCAGGGTGAGCTATGCTTGAAGGTAAGAGGGGAAAAGTACTTAGTGTGCAGCAGCACTCTCATTTCCAAATATGCTATAAGGTGACAAAAGAGAGAGGAGGGGCTGCTTTCAGTACTGGGAATTGTGACACCATTATAGAAAAAGGTTACCTGGAAGAAAGGGTATTATAAGGGGGGAATTAGGAGAGGTTAAGCTGAAAAGCTTGTAGAAGCCAGCCCGCAGGCATTTCTCTCAGACAGTTCTTCAACAGGGAGACTGTATTACGCCTTTGAAACAATCCCGGAGAAAAAGCTGCTCTGCGAGGGGATCTGGAGTAGGGAAATGGTGGCCAGAAGACTCCCAGAGCTTCTGAATAGCCCTCTTCTGGACTACTGCATCTTTTCAAGCAAAAAAGTGTGGGAGGACACCAACTCTTACCTGCATTGCATGTGTAGTGTGGTTTGCTGACAAATTGAGATACACAATATGGCAGCATGAAAATGGTCAGCTGGAGGCACCAAAGACTGATTCTTCAGTGCACAATTTGCCTTGTTGTGCTGACAATTTGTTAAACTGTATTTTTCTCAAGCTGTGGCAAATAAGTACATTGAAACAAATGCTTTTCACACTCACAATTCCAGCCTTTAATTGAAGAAACTCACAAGGGAGTAAAGAGAACATCTGATACTTGCAGCAGCCTCATTTTCTGCCCTTCATCTGTGAAGGCTCAAGAGGAGACCTAATTTCAGGAAGGGAAAGCTTCCTTCAGACATACTCAATTCTCAACAGCATTAAGGGGCAGGGGAGAGCCTGAGAAATATCGGAGAGCGGATATACTGTCCAGATGCAGTGAACAACTCAGTGATTTAAAAGCACTATAGGATTAGAGATAAGATCTGCTCTTTCCCTTGTTTACTTGGTGCAGGTCATGTAGTACTTTCTCCAAACAAAGCCTAGTTAAAATAAATGGAGTTGCCTTTTGCCCCCCAGATGCAATTCAGGCAGGAAAAAATAATCACAGATCTCAAATGCAAAAGGCAGATGCTGCTAACAAGGAAGGAGGTTGTTATAGACTCCTAGATATTTCCCTGGGAAAGTTTTTGACACTCACTTTGTCTTTGCACTTGGCTGCTTTTGGAATGAACATTGGAAAAGTGACAGAAGATAAAATGCTGTCATATGATTTATCACTTTCTTATCTCCACGGTCAAGTGAGCACTGAGCTATTCTTTTAGCTTGCCACTTCTGGAATTGCAAGATTGCAGCCTCCAGGAATGTGGCAAACTGCCCACAGGGGATTCTGCTACCAGGGAGAGGAGGAGCTTTGACAGGAGAAGGACTAATGGAGGAAGCGAGGGGCTTGCGGCATCCCCGGTGATTATGTGGAACTCTGCAGCGCACTAATTTTCAGTATGTGTGGCATGAGGAAAGTGCTAGTGTGTTGCAAGAAATAAATTAAAGAAAGACACTGCATAGAAGTCTCCTGTGAGACCAATGCACTGGGCTGGCTCCAGGTTCCAGAGGGCTCTTGGGCAAAATGCCCTCAGCAAGCCCCCTTGCACTATGTGGGGTATGTTCTGATCCCTCCTGCATTCTTGCTATATATCTTCCAGGAACAATTCTTTCCACTAGGAACAGATTTTGTAGTAAGACCTTGTTAGACTCTGCTTACAGAGCTGCATCCTACATTTTAAGAACGATGGCACTATAGTTCCCACTCCCATTACAAACAACAACTAATTCTTTCCTTTCTTGAGCTGTCCTGCACAAACTTCTTTCAGTCCTGTTGAACTGCAACTGATAATGAAGCTCGAGACAATGCATCCACCTGGATTGAAAAACTAAATCTTCTTAGTTTTTAAGGTGCCACTGGACTCTTACTCTTTTCTGGTGCTACAGACAGACTAACATGGCTGTTCATCTTCTTTCAGTCCTATAAAGTAACCCATTTATCAAGTGCAAGTCTTTCCCCTCAGTAATCTCTGCTCAAAAGTCTAAATGCATTACGGTAGAAGTAAATTTTACGCTATAGATCCAAGATATTCTCTTAGGGTTGATCCACCCATTACAAAGTTGTCATAGATGTCACATAGACTTACTGGAATTACAGTGTTTCCCCGATGCATGTGGATCCAGTCTAAATGAGACTCCAGTGCCCTTTCCCTGATTTGAAATGGACCCAGGGAGACACTACAAGACAACAGATAGCCACTTCCTAGGGAAGTTTCAGGACAGGAAAATGAGGCGGGGGAGGCTGAAGATCTATCTCAAGTGCACTGTGGACATGATCCAAATAAGGCCCACATGACCCAGCACACGTACAGTCTAGAGTTTTTGTGGCCACCATGATAACTTTATCATGTGTGAACTGGCCCTTAGCTGATGTTTTCTTTTTCAAACAGAGACTGTAAGGAAATGGGCTATTTCATCATTATCCCATTTTCCCTACTGAAAAATGCCCCCCTACAAACCACTTTTGACCATGATGGGGGGGGGGGGAAGTGGACATTTTTTCTCCACTGAAACCATAGAGATGACAAGGAGGAATATTTTCAGAAAGAAAATGTGAGTTGCATATTCTTTGCTCCTCCCACTCCAGTCTCCCCCTTTCAACTGCAGCTTCAAAGGCTGCACTGTGCAAAAAAAAAAAAAGTTGGTTGAAAGGATCATGTGGAACTACATGAAATGAATATTTCTGTTCTTAGATAAAGAAAGGAGAAATTATGAAAACAAAGTGATCACGAATTTGCAAATTTTGAAAGAAATATGAATACGACTAATATGTTACGGTTTCCTCTTAACGAGAAACTAATTGTACACAGTGAGGTCTAGAATTATATGCACAGGCTGATTTACTTTGGTGTTTTTTAGCTGGAGACATAGTTTATAAGGATACACATATTGTCTGCTTGCAGACATCATGCCAAGTTGTAATCAGTGTTTCTAATTCTCAACATGGCCCCATCTGTAGATACTTAAACCCATTGATCAGGGCCATGGAAAGAGAAAGGAGGTATTTATGCAAATTTGGGTGACCCCTAGGTTTGCAGAAAAATCAGAAAACTTAAAAAAGAAGGGGGGATTTTCCTCATAGAGGAACATTGTTGCAGACAATTCTCCTTTGCCAGCAAGGCAGCATCAACCCTCCTTGCGGGGTGTGGGAGATTTTGGAGGAGGGGAAGTTGCTACTTGAGTCAGGAGGGGGAGGGCAGGAGCATTGTACCCCCACACACACACAGACTGATGGGCGAGCTGGGGTGTGTGTGTAATGCAGACGGAAGGGAAGAAACAGAGAGCAGCCAGGCAGAGTGACAGGTGGCAGACAAGTTGGGTGGACAAGTGAGATTCTCCCTCCCTTTTGAGTTTACATTGGGGGAAGCAGTAGGAGTCTGAGCCGCTGCTGCCATCACTACATTAGCCGGGCCCAGAGAGGCAGTGGAGCTAAGGGAGAGTGAGTGGGTAGACAGGTGGACAGGTAGAATGGTGAGGATGGGGGCAGCCAGGCAGAGTGGTGAGGAGGGGGCAAGAGACTGAATCCACTGGGATTCCTCCCCTGCAAATCTTGTGGTCCTTGCTTGCTAAACTCCAATTTGCAGTGATGGCCATAAATGCAGATTTTTCGTTGTGTCCTTATGTTCCCCCTTGCTCCTCCTCCCTCCTTACATGGAGCATGAACACCAATTCCACACAAAAACAAACTCTAACTCCCAGCGACACCTGCATGCATGCAGCTGGGTTACCTTGTTTGCCCCATATAAATTGGCATTCCAAACCAGGGCTGAAGCCAAGCTCATGA